AAAGTATGTTCTCAAAATGCTCCTTTATAATTAAGTGCTTTTTCAAACTGATAATTTTTAAGTAAACAATTTTTCGAAATGGAGTTCATGAGCCAACTTACAGTGGATCCCTTCTTCTAGTAGCCTCCCACTAAATTTAAAAAAATCATTTTGAAGACCTATTCATAATTTAGATAACAAAGATTATCAAAATGTTATTGGTTTAACTGAAATTTAATAGACATTTTTAAAAAGAACTTTTTAGTAAACACATCTCAATCATAAAAGACCACGTTAGTAATTTTTTCTTATTGAGAATTACTTTGGGAAAAACCCTTATTAAAAAGGACCATTTTGAGAATTTATTCAAAATATTTGGTCATATTTGGTGAAAAGGACTATTTGCGGAATAGTTTTCAAAAATTGAAGACTTTTAGAGAATATCTTATAATTGGAGACAAAATATGAAAAACTACATATAATTGTGACCATTTATTGAATTTACTCTATATAAAAACACCATGTTCTCAATTAAAAAGAAATAGTATTAAAATGTGTTATACTCTTCGTAAATATAATTTATCTACACAAAATAAAACTCAAGCAAATTAAAATTCATATATATTCTATCCAATAAAAATATGAAAAAAAAAATAAATCCAAACAAGCTTATACTACCTCCGTCCCAATTTTTATTACAATTTTTATTCTCTCTCTCATCTCGATACTTTTTATTTATTTGTCCATTTTCATTGAATATTTGATAAAATAAAATATTTTTGTCACATCTTATTTTTTATTTTGTGCTCACCTGAATGAATAGTGTAAAAAATTGGACGTTATACTCAATATTTATTTGAGATAAAATACAAAGGCCGTGTTTGGAAAACAACTTTTTGTACAGCTTTTGTCATCTTTGACTGACTTTGGTTTTTTGACTAAGCGAACAGTCAAAACCATTATTTGGCTAATGAATTTTTCACTTGGCATTTTCATTTGAAAAGCCAAAATATCAAAACCTAAGGGGAGTAGCTTTTGGACATATCTGTTAGAATTTTTTTTAAAAACATTTTTCTTGAAAGATATTCTATAATATACGTAAACAAAAAAATAAAAGTTAAAACATTCAAAACAAAAAAAATTAAAAATTTCAGAAAAAAAAAAGATGAGATGAGAAAATAAAAAGAAAAAAATCATTAAAAAGTTGGATATTAATAATTTCTTATGAATTAAATGAAAGTAAAATTTAATACTCCATATAATTAATTAAAATTTAATTTTTATATGTAAAAAAATGAAAAAAAAAATAGTGTGTGTGTGTCTACACACACATACATACACACACACACACACACATACATACATACATACATACACACACACACACACACACACACACACACACACACACACACACACACACACACACACACACATAAGATGATACTACAAATGAGGCAAATTCTATGGTGGACCTAAGGTCCATCATAGACCTACATATAAGTAAAATAAGTACTCCGTATTTTTTACTATTTAAATAAACAACTATTTTTTAAAAAAAATAAAAAAAATTATGTGAGAAGGTTCTCAAAAATTATTTATTAGACCTTAGAACTTGTAATGAGACAAGATTAATTGTTTAAGAGCTGCGAAATAATGTTATCGATGCAATTGTGGTTTCAAGAAATCAAGTCAAGGAAAAAGTTTACATTTTTAGAATGAGCTTCGTACGATCTGATCAAGCCTACCCTTGAAGTTCCAAAGAAGACAATTCCTCATCGCCTTATGTTTTGCTATGACTACCAACAAAAGTCAAAGTCAAACATTGTCATTTGTACGATTATTTTTAACCAAGTCAATGTTCACACATGATCAACTATATGTTGCTGTTTTACGAGTGAAGACAAAGACAGGATTAAAGATATTAGTTCTAGATGACAATGGAAACCCTTGTAGCCATATCAAGAATGTTGTATACCCTGAAATCTTTCAGAAAATTTGGTATTAAAATAAACATTGTTAATTCTACATTCTGTTCCTCAAATATTATTTATTTTACTTTGGCTTTTTTCATTTGTAGTATTAAAAATCATGTGAGCAATATATTTTCTTTATTTCGAAAAATAAATTTCATTGAAATAATTCAGAATCAACATAAATTTCTTTCGACCTCGTGCATGGCACGGGTCCGAATAGTAGACCATAGAACTTAGACTAGTGGGTAGAAATATATTGATGGAAACCCTCAATCTGGTTTCAGTTTTTCACATAAGAATATCATCTTTCCCCTGGTTTTTTTTAATTCAAAATTGAAAAATTATCTATTAGTCATTATTCAAGTAAATGAGGCCGGAAATTATCTATTAGTTATCATTCAAGTAAATGAATATTCTTATGTTTCAATAATAATATCATCTTTCCCCGAGTTCTTTCTCAAAATAGGACCCTAGGTTTTTATTTTCCAATGTAGGACCATTGGTCATTATCTATTAGTCATTATTCAAGTAAATATTCACCATCACTGGACATTATTCCTCCCACTAGACATTATTAAGTACTGAGTACTATTTAGGGAATTAAAAAAATTTAAGTCTTATATTGGAAAATGACTTACTCCCTCCGTCCCAAAATATAAACAACACTCCACTATTTAAAAATCACAGGAACTTTTATTTATTTTTGCATTTTGATTGATTATTTGATAGAATAAAATATTCTTGTCAGCACTTGTTTTGTAGAACTTTTGACGTAGTTTTTAAATGTGTAAGTTTTTATTTTTCATTTGTAGACCATTCTTTAAATAAAATGGATTGAAAAAATTCAAAAAATACTTCATTTAGCGTAATATTACTTATATTTTGAGATGCAGGGAGTATGTTTTAATTTTATTTAGTGCAAATTTCACTTCAAAATTTTGCCTAACTTTTGAGGGAGGGTTATGAACCCAATGTCACTGATGACGTGCTTTCTAAATGAGCAGTTCAATCTTATCATGAAAGATAAAGATGTTTGATTCTCTTTAATTTCATGTAATTGCGCCGGAAATATAGCTGGTAATTAAATAGGAAATGCAAGTCGTACCGTTATAGGCATTCTTTGGAAAAAGATTTTTCAATTAATTTTGGTATTTTGAATAAAATTTAATGCTGTATATTAATTTTGAAAATGTTAATGTCAAAGACTATCGTCAAATAAATTTTTCAAAACATTAACATTAACTTCTTTCATGTGAATATGAACTATAATCACTTATAGAGAGTGTGAATATGGACTTTCATGTTAGTGGGAAAGAAAACTCGATGTGAGGATCACGTTAGGATTTTCTACGCCTTTTCATACTCCCCGTTTACCAAAAATCTTTTTTCTCTCATTTTTTTATCAAAATAATTACAGTTTCTATTAAAATCACTTTTATCCTAATTTTTTTCTTATCCTACTTATCACATCATATTCTTTCATTAATAATCTACCAATCACATTTTACTTTTACTTATCATATCAAAAAAAAATTAGAAAGTCAACTCCAAATATATTTTCTTTATTTCTCTTATTAGTCAAAATAGGAATCGTTTTGGTATGCGAAGGGGGTATTTTGTACTCTGTGTATAGTCAGTGTGCATTTGATAATAGTTTCAACATTTAATTTTAAGTTTTACAAAAATTATCTAATGACATTGTTTAACTTTAGTATTTTCAATGGCTTTCTGCCGTTTTGAAATAAACTTCAATAATTGATTATTGTTGTTATTGTGTGTCTATATATATATATATATATATATATATATATATATATATATATATATATATATATATATATATATATATATATATATATATATATATATATATATATATATATATATATATATATATATATATATATATATATATATATATATATATATAGGGGCCGGTTCCTGTGAGAATGCACTTTGTGGAGAGAAATGAGAATAAAATCTAGCCGTTGGATCTGATGCATTACTATTTCAAAATTGAAAGATTATAAGAAAACCTCTTAAACAGGAGATACATATATCATATCCTTAAAATAGGAGTTCAAACTTAAACTCCTCTAAATAGGAGTAATTAATTAAATTTTGTTTTGATTTACTTTTCGCATTAACCACACCACATCTCATCCCTATGCGGTCGAAAAAGCCACCCGGCCCCTTCCCAACTCCATCCTTCTACGATCTCCTTTGTTCTAATCTCAGTTGTTGATGCTGTCAACTTAATCTCAATCTTCTCTCCGCCGCTAGCCCGCTACCATCTCTTCAATGCGGCAATGATTCCACCGCATTCTCCATCATCTCCTTTTCTCTCATACACACAATCTCCTTCCACCCCTCTCCACCATTTTTGTTTTTCATCGCTCGGAGGGTAAGTTTGAATTCAATTTGATATTTAATTTGACATAAGTAGTTAAATTCAATTTTAAATCTAAAAATTTACTTTTTCGGGGATTATTTTGTAAAATTGGTACTAATTCTTTTAGCCTTGCGTGAGTTTGAAACTTTTAATCAATTTTATATTCAATTTCACATAGGTTGTGACATTTGATTTTAAATCTAAATTTACTTCTTAGAAAACTATTTTGTAAAACATATATTGAAACTAAATGATTATTGTGTTGACAAATAGAATTTCTTGATGTTTAACTTTTTTGAGATTATGCATTAACATATGTGTTATATGTAAAATTATACATTGGCATATCTGTCATTATACATTCCTAAGTGTGGCACTATATATTGTCATATTTGACATTATTTCTTTGTTTAGCATTATGCATTTACATGTATGACTTTATACAATGACATGATTGTCATTATGCGGTTACGTGTGGCGTTAACACTATGTTTGGTTCAATGATTTTGGCTAGGAAAAGAAAAGAAAATATGAGGAAAATGTTTTTTTAATGTTTGGTTAGTGAGAAAAAGAAAGGAAAAGTGAGAGGAAAAGAAAAGTGGAGAGAAAATGAATTAAAAAACGGGAAAATCATTTTCCTCCCGATTTCGGACGGAAATCGAGAGAATCCTGTCTCGTTGAAGATTCCAATTGAACTCGGTTGCGGATTTCTGCAAGACTGAGAGCTGCTTGTCGAGATCGTGCCGCTGGGAAAGAATCGCCTCCAGGTCCAGATCTAGGGCACGCTGGTAAGCGATGCACTCATGGAAAAGACGAGTCATGGCTCCGACATCAGTGAGGTTACGCACGCGCTCCAGAGCCTCTGGGGTGCCGAAATCCAATGATAAATTCGCCGCCGATGAATCATCGCCGGAATCTCCTTTCAGAGTCCCGGCTCCTGATCGCGATCCCATCACTGCGCCTTGAAAATAGGCTCAATTCGAGGCAAATTTGTGGGGGTTTCTGAGCGACTTGAGATGCTTATTCAAGTTCTTAACTTGGATTTCCATTCCAATTGAAGAATCCTTTGATTTGAGCCAAAACTTGGATTCGAGTCACTGTTCATAGCAGGGATTTGCAGCCCAGGTTTAACCATGGTCCTCTCCTCCTTTTGCCTCCATTTTTGGGTATTGTGGTCGTGATTCAGGGCCTTCCATTAACTTGTGTTGGATTCTTGATTCAATAAACTTATTTTGGCCTCCTTATTTTACTCTTCGTGGCACTATTCATTTTCTGGGTTTCCCTGTGCTACTATATTTAGGACGGTTTGGACCTTGTTGCTTGTGCTATTCTTTCTCTATAGCTTAAGGGTATCTTGAAGATGAATTTGTTTGCTTGCATTTGTGGTTATTGGCTCATTTGACAATGGCATTGTGCATTGTCCAAGTATGTGTCGTCTTCTTCACTATGTTGTGAATGCTGCCCAGGTTTCCTACCTCGTATGTGTGTTCCATCTCAATTTAATAGAGGAGATGTGGTAATATGGGCAAATTTCCTTCTAACCAAACAAAAAGTGCATGAAAATACATTTTCCTCATCAATTTCCATCTTAACCAAACATAATTAGAATTTTGAGTTTCCTTTCTTTTCTTTTCTTTTCCTTATCATTTTCCTTTCTTCCTCAATTCCTTGAACCAAACATAGTGTAAGTATGGTCTTCTTTGACACTCTATGGGCCTGAGGCAACACTTAAAGGTGATGTTTATCAAGTTTTTTTCTCTTTCTAAGAATGTCAAATCATCAAATCAGAATATTTGAGTTGTGAATTAGGATACACATATAAATATTTAGGAGCAAGGTAGAAATAACCGTATTTGTCTGTGGTACTGAGCTTTGGGTGTGATATTGTTGTCGTCCCGTGACGATATAGTTAAAAGAATCATTTATTGACAATATTTTAACTTTGGGTGAGAAAATTAGCCGGCTTAATAGTTAGCCGTTATTTTGATAAAAAATAAATATAATGTCCTATTTTATTTTCTGACTCGAAAATATAAACTATATATAAAGCCAACCTTTTAATTCAAAAAATAGGTAATTGGGTTGATCTCGTAAAAAGGTGACTAACATCATAAAGTTTGTTAAGTTTAGACTTTGGTGTAAAAAGTTATGAGCAAAATAGATGTTATAATTCAATAAAGGGGAAAATGCTTCACAACCCCCTATGGTTTCAATAAGGAGCTCCAACATCCCTCGTGGTTTTAAAAGTAATTTATAAAATACCCCTGGTTTGTAAAGGGTGCACATGCACCCCATCTGATGAGAATTGGCTGTTATTTGATACGCACCCGATCCGTGTAGTGTCACCGTGGATCATTTGATTCCTAATGTTTTTTAATCCAATCCTACATCAACGTTTATCCGGACATCATAATGCCGCTTCCCGATGAGGCCGAATGGCCTATTCCAGGATACGAGATAGCGAGACCAACTGCACGAGCAAGGACACAAACCGATCAACCTACAAGAACTCGTTATCCGAATAACATGGACTACCGACCATGGTGACGCCGCAATGAACAATAGCTATATCATGAGTTTCAATTATGTCTAAGTTTATGTTTTATGAATTTCACAAAATAAATTAGTTATGACATGTGTTTTGTAACCTTATTTTTATGAATGAATAAATTATATATACTCTGTCAATAAATTTGTTGTGATTTACTTCTTATTTTAATTTTGGTGTATGGTGCATTATTTAAAGTCAATAAATAATTATTTTATTTATGAATTTTACTCTTAGTAGATTGTTTGTTTCATTATATGTAATTAATTTGCTAGTTTTTATAATATTTTTTTGTAATTCAATTATGAGAAATAAAGAAAAAAAATTGATTTAAAAAAATAATAGAGGAACGAAGTTGAGAAATTAAGAAAAAATTGATTTTTAAAAAAATAATAGTGGGACGGAGTTCGCTACTCCATTTCCTTAAAATAATTATTCGAAACATAAACTAGGGTTTATCATTTAATGAAATGGAGTAGGTCATTCGGCCTCATCGGGAAGCGGCATTATGATGTCTGAATAAGCGTTGATGTAAGATTGAATTGAAAAAACATTAGGAATCAAATGTTCCACGGTGACAGATGGGGTGCGTATCGAATAACAACCAATCTTGATCAGATTGGGTGCATGTGCACCCTTTACAAACCAGAGGGATATTACAAGTTACTTTTAAAACAACGAGGGGTGTTGAAGCTCCTTTTTGAAACCATAGGGGGATGTGGTGCATTTTCTCCTTCAATAAATAAATATAAAGATTTTATAATATTAAATAATCAATTTCCTAATCTATTCTAATTCCTACCCATAACTCAATGCCAAGGCCCAGCCCCTCTTAAGTGTGTAAATACACAAGCATGCAAGAAAAGAAAAAAAACAAAGCAAGGGAGAAGAGAGAGTGAGAAGAGAGAATTGAGGACAAAAATTAATTAATTATTCATATTTAGAGGAGTTTAAGTTTTAGCTCCTATTTGAAAATATAACATAACTTTTCCTCCTAGTTTGGTCATTCTCCCAAAGATTATTCCGTGGACTTACCATTTTTTAGAAATTTCATATAGTTATTTAAAATTGAAAGAATAAAACGTGCCACGTACCATACAACAACAACCTAGGTGAATCCCACAACAGTAGGGTCTGGAAATGATTTTCCCGTTTTTTAATTCATTTTCTCTCCACTTTTCTTTTCCTCTCACTTTTTCTTTCTTTTTCTCACTAACCATTTTTTTAAATATTCGGTTTAGTGTTTAATATTGAAAAAGTAAAACGTGACACTTACCATTTTAAAATTGAAAGATTTTTCTGTGCGACTTACCATTTTTTAAAAATTTTGTATAGTTATTTAAAATTGAAAAAGTAAAACGTGCCACTTATCATTTTAAAATTGAAAGATTATTCCGTCCGTGCCACTTACCATTTTTAAAAAATTCCGTATAATTATTTAAAATTGAAAGAGTATAACATGTCACTTACCATTTTTTAAAAAATCTTGTTTTTGTTTTAATATTGAAAGAGTAAAACGTGGCACTTACTATTTTAAAATTGAAAGATGAGCCACTTACCATTTTTAGAAATTCTGTATAGTGATTTAAAATTGAAAGAGTAAACGGATCAATTACCATTTTTTTTAAAATTTTTTTTTAGTGTTTTAATATTGAAAGAGTAAAACGTGCCACTTACCATTTTAAAATTGAAAGAGTAAAACGTGCCACTTACGATTTTTTAAAATTCCGTTTAGTTTTTAATATTGGAAGAGTAAAACGTGTCACTTATCATTTTAAAATTGAAAGATTATTTCATGCCACTTACCATTTTTTAAAAATTCCGTATAGTTATTTAAAACTGAAAGAGTAAAACGTGTCACTTACCATTTTAAAATTGAAAGATTATTTCGTGCTGCTTGACATTTTTAAAAAATTCCACATAGTGATTTAAAATTGTAAGAGTAAAATGTGCCACTTAACATTTTTAGAAAAATCCATTTAGTGTTTTAATATTGAAAGATTATTCTGTGCCGCTTACCATTTTTTAAAAATTCCATATAGTTATTCAAAATTAAAAAACTAAAACGTAACACTTACCAATTTAAAATTGAAAGAGTAAAACATATCACTTACCATTTTTACTCACCACGCTTGGGCGGGAAAACACAATCTTTTTAAATAAATATGGATATGGATATGGATTATGAATTATGGACATGGATTATTATTATTTATTGGAATTTTTGGCTTATAACGGGACTACTTCATACGTAAATTAGGTGGAGTCCACAAAATTATTAATCTCTTAAGCGAGACAAGTGTTTTGACATACTGTGCGCCACAAATGGTGCTCCGTTGAATGAGAAATTAATTCACAAAGTCGGATACATGAAAGGAGAAAACACACATATCTCACATTGGTTTTGGGACCTTTCATATTGCACAATTTATATGCTAGCATTGAATTGTATGTTAAAATCATTTGAGAACAAGGAAGGAGAGGACCCCTCTCGTTCCGGCCCGGCATGCACGCCCACGTGCACTCGACGCGTCGCGATGTGGCGACTTGCAGTTTAACATTATTAAATTTATTATAATTATTATTATTTTTTGAAAACTATTATAATTATTACTCCCTCCGTCCGGAAATATTTTTCCCATTTTCCTATTTGGTTCGTCCGGAAATATTCTTCCCATTTCCTTTTTTAGTATACTTTTTAAGGCTAAATATCAATAATACCCTTCTATTTTATCACAAATCTACTTTTTTAGTACTTTTTTAATAATAAAAGGAGATTTAAAAGTTTATAGTATGTGCATTTTTGAAAATTTTGCATTTTTTTTACTATTCCTTAATAAGCGTGCCAAGTCAACACGGGAAGAAAATTTCGGGACGGAGGGAGTATTATTCCCAAATACGCATGAGCTAGCGTCTACAATACCAGTGATAATATAAATTAAATAGCAACTAACACCCGAATAAATAATATTTAATGCAAAATAATTAGGTGATTATATGATGACAGAAGCATGACGACGCTTTGATCTTTTAAAGTCCAAATCTTGAGATATTTTTTTATTTACAAATTGCCGACCCTTTAGCTGCTTTGGCTTTCCCATCCATCACTTTCTATCTTTTTTTTTTTCAATAATCCAAATCCAAATTTCCCTCGAATTCAATGGTTATCAGAACGTACCATTATTATTGATGACGTCACTGGAACTGGAATGGTGGGTTCACGAAAATGCCCTGATTCATCAACAACATATTGCTGCTGCTGCTCTGCTGGCTGTATTGGTGTGAGAATTGATCACCCAGGGCATAAGGGTAAATTCCATTGTTGTATGTGTTCATATGGTGATCAAAGTTTATTGGGTTGTTGTTGTTGTTGTTCTCGTCCCGTAGGAATTGAGGGATTGATGACCCGAAACAGTCCATTTCCATGAGAGGAGTGCTCAACGAGCAAACCCTTCCGAGTTTCATTATTGTCTGTGCGTGTCCGCTCGTTGCGTCCCCAAAAAAAGGTCCCATTTTCGTCGCGCCTCCTTCGCCGTCGTATTCT